GGGGAGACAGCACACTTCCCGAGACATCTTGTCAGGCCCACAGATCACTGCTTCTGTTCCCCTCAGTAGGGAATCCCCTATCACCACTACACGCCTCCTCTTAGGTTTGGTCGGGGTTCTTCCGTGAGCTGTCCGTTCCAAGATCGCCTGCACATTCCCTGAGGACTGACTTTGCTGCTCGTCTTCATATACCTGATCGACCGTAATGAGGGAGAGATCCTCAAATGGAGTCTGCTCTTCGTCTTCCATGTTAGGGGAGAGGACCTCAAAGCGATTGTGTATTTCTAAACAATCAGAGCGAACCCTGGGCCTCCTACTTCTTTGAGTCACGTTTCTCCATATATCTGGCTCCTGTGTTGGTGAACTAGCCTCCTTCTCAGGGGAGTCCCCTGTCTCCTCCTTGGTGGAGATGGTGTGCTCTGTTGCTTCCAAGAAGAGCTCCAGCTCTCTAATTCTTTGGAGCGTAGCTACACGTTCCTCCAGTTGCTGGACTTTGTCTTTTAAGAGGGCAATCAACATGCAATTGCTGCAGGTAAAGCTGCCTGCAACCTTTGGCAAGATGGCAAACATTGCGCAGGAACCGCAGGTGACTGCAGCTGTTCCCTCCCCCTCCATCTTGAGAACGTGTCGTTGGAGGTGGCTACAGCGGTCCTCCATCATAAAAAGCGTGAAGACAGGACAAATAACTCCCCCCACAAGAAAAACACCTAGGTCTCCCCCAACAAATGTTTGAGACTAGCTCCCCTAAATCTAAAAGACTTCTGGCTTGTCTGTTGGTCCTGGCTTGTCCTTCAGTTCTGACTTCTGGCTTGTCTTTCAGTTCTGACTTGCCCTTCAGTTCTGACTTCTGGCTTGTCTTTCAGTTCTGACTTTCCCTTCAGTTCTGACTTCTGGCTTGTCTTTCAGTTCTGACTTGTCCTCAGGTCTTGGTTTCTAGTTTGTCCTTCAGTTCTGGCTTGTCCTTTAGTTCTGACCGACTGAGAGCCAGTGTGGTGTAGTGGTTAAGAGCAGTGCACTTGTAATCTGGTGAACCGGGTTCGTGTCTCCGCTCCTCCACATGCAGCTGCTGGGTGACCTTGGGCCAGTCACACTTCTCAGCAGTCTCTCAGTCCCACTCACCTCACAGAGTGTTTGTTGTGGGGGAGGAAGGGAAAGGAGATTGTTAGCCGCTTTGAGACTCCTTAAAGGGAGTGAAAGGTGGGATATCAAATCCAAACTCCTCCTCCTCCTCCTCCTCTTCTTCTTCTTCTTCTTTTGACTTGTCCTTCAGTTCTGGCTTGTCCTTCAGTTCTGGCTTGTTCTTAGGTCTTGGCTTCTACTTTGTCCTTCAGTTCTGGCTTGTCCTTCAGTCCTGACTTCTGGCGTGTCCTCCAGTTCTGGCTTGCCCTATGGTCCTGGCTTGTCCTTCAATCCTAACGTCCAGCTTGTCCCACAGCTTTTTTGATCCTGACTCCAGGCGTGCACAAGACAGTTCCTGTGGCCCAACTCACCAATGAACCAAGACAGCTATATCCCAGATCCTTTCAAGCAAGCGATCAGAGAGACAGAGAGCGAGAGCATGCAACTTTCTGCAGGTTGCCAGCACTGCTGCTCTCCTGGCAACGATTCACCCCCTTTTGCTAATGTGTTAGTGTTTTTCTGGCTTCTCCCATATGTTTTCGTGACGCACACTTGCTTAATTAAAATCACATTTCCCCGATGCAGCTCAACACAAAGTAATTAACTTCACACGTTGCAAGCAGATCTTTGACACAATTGGAAGTGTTCAGAGAAGGTTTGCAAGGGTCTTCTTTTTCAGAAACCCCAATAAAGTCATCAAGGTAGATTTGGGTGCTCCGAGTGGGTGGCAAGTAAATGAGCCTAGTTAGGGTGCAGCAGTAGAAACTCAGCCCTTGACATGACTACAAAATGTGCATCAGCAGTTCCCATAACAGATGTCCAGTGATCAAAACCATGCTAACTTATGTAAGTGAGATTATCTTTCCGCATGGAATTAGGCAGGTTTTCAAGGGGCATTTAAGTGACTGCAGCAAGTATAGCAGAGTAGCGACTTTATACCTTCTCTGGAGGGTAGGACTCGAACTCATGGCCTCGAGTTACAAGAAAGGAGATTCCGACTGAACATCAGAAATAACATTCTTACGGTAAAAGCCGTTTGACAGTGGAACAGAGGACCACAAGAGGCAGTGGATTCTCCTTCACTGGAGGTTCTTAAGCAGAGCTCATGAATGCTTTAGTTGAGATTCCTACATGGCGGGGGTGGACTAGATGACCCTGGGTGCCCCTTCCAACTCTGTTATTCTTACAGGGTCCAGAGTCATCATCCTAACACAGCAGAGTGCATTCTGACATTAACATACCACTTATGGGAGAGGCAGAATTTTGAGACAGCCGCATTTAGACCAGGAATCCCCAGTGTCTGGAGGCAATATTTGGAAAGCTAAGAAACTGCTGAAGTTGCCCACAAGAGACTGATTTCACAGAAGGAAAACTGGCGATACTCAGACTGAGGTTGAATCCTGACAAGACAGAAGTATTGTTTTTGGGGGACAGGAGGCGGGTGGGTGTTCTGAATGGGGTAACTGTGCCCCTGAAGGACCAGGTGCGCAGCCTCGGAGTCATTTTGGACTCTCAGCTGTCCATGGAGGCGCAGGTCAATTCTGTGTCCAGGGCAGCTGTCTCCCAGCTCCATCTGGTATGCAGGATGAGACCCTACCTGCCCACGGACTGTCTCACCAGAGTGGTGCATGCTCTGGTTATCTCTCGCTTGGACTACTGCAACGCGCTCTACGTGGGGCTACCTTTGAAGGTGACCTGGAAACTACAACTAATCCAGAATGCAGCAGCTAGACTGGTGACTGGGAGCAGCCGCCGAGACCACATAACGCTGGTGTTGAAAGACCTACATTGGCTCCCAGTACGTTTCCAAGATTGGGACGCGGGTGGCGCTGTGGGTAAAACCTCAGCGCCTAGGACTTGCCGATCGTCAGGTCGGCGGTTCGAATCCCCACGGCGGGGTGAGCTCCCGTTGCTTGGTCCCAGCGCCTGCCAACCTAGCAGTTCGAAAGCATCCCCGGGTGCAAGTAGATAAATAGGGACAGCTTACCAGCGGGAAGGTAAACGGCGTTCCGTGTGCTGCGCTGGCTTGCCAGATGCAGCTTGTCACGCTGGCCACGTGACCCGGAAGTGTCTGCGGACAGCGCTGGCTCCTGGCCTGTAGAGTGAGATGAGCACACAACCCTAGAGTCTGTCAAGACTGGCCCGTACGGGCAGGGGTACCTTTACCTTTACCTTACGTTTCCGAGCACAATTCAAAGTGTTGGTATTGACCTTGAAAGCCCTAAATAGCCTCAGCCCAATATATCTGAAGGAGCATCTCCACCCCCATCGTGCTGCTATGGTTCGCCAGAAGCGGCTTAGTCATGCTGGCCACATGACCCAGAAGCTGTACGCCGGCTTCCCTTGGCCAATAAAGCGAGATGAGCGCCACAACCCCAGAGTCGGTCACGACTGGACCTAATGGTCAGGGGTCCCTTTACCCTTTACCTTTAAGGAAAAGTGGGACATTCTGGGATCCAGTCAGAAACTGGGACGGCTTCTCTAAACCAGGGACATCCCTGGAAAATAGGGACACTTGGAGGGTCTGGAATCAGATTTAGGTCATCCTTTCTCTCTTCTCTCTCCCCAAAATCCCATCCAACATGGGTCGCGGAGAAAGTAAACTTTGGAAAGAACAAAATCAGGGCAAGAACGATGACAAATGACTGGCGGGTCCTTTCCTGGTTGCAACAACGGTTGAACGACACCGGTTTTCAATCACTGGATAAAGATTTCTGTCCTCAGCAGATTTCCCAGCAACCAACAACAAAGGCACTTCCCTGTTTCCAAGAGATCCTCTGCAGGTCTCTTTACCGCAATTCAGTAGCCAGCTGTGTGTTCTCATAGCACCTGTGAGCAAAATCCAACCACCCTTTTACCACCAGATCACGGCCACAGGCGCAAACTACAGATTATGCACGGACGTATTCCTTAAAAACCTACCCATGCCTTGTTTTATAAGAAAAGAAAGGAAAACAGCTTTGGATGGTGCAAATGAGAAGGGAGGCACACCCTCCATTGACCACTTTTTGACTTTTTAAACTGTGTTTTTGCAAGGAAACGGACGGGGCAGGACCAGCCCATAGCATCTCTCCAATTGGGCAGTGTAACTGAGAAGGGAGAAACAGCAGGGAATTTTTGTGCTTAACCCTCCCCCCACCCACCGTTTCTCCACCCCCAAATCTCTTTCCACCTGCTGTACCTTTCAAAAGGTATGTTTACGAGAAAGCGGAGCGGACAGGATTAGACCTAGGTAGTAGCAGCCTGTGGGGCAGGGCGGAATTAGAAATCTGCCCCCTACCTTGGCGGGGCATCAGTGACGCTGGGGAGAGAGGACCAGCCCACTCAGGAAGCAGGATGAGGCAGCTGCACCAGGCAGCAGATCTGGACCCCCTGTGAGGGGTAGCAGATCTGTCTGCTGCTGCCTCTGCCATTGCCAGCTCCTCCTCTTCCAATTCGACAATTCTACATTTCTGTGTATATAGAGCTCGCTAGCTAGATCTTGAATGCTGCAAATCTCCTTCTTTACACTTGCAGGATGGAGGATGAATTCAAAGCGGCATAAATTAGAGTGAGCGGTGCATTGAGTACATAACACAGGGCCAGTCAACATGGTGTTGTGCAGATGTGGTGGGCTACACCTCCCACCAGCCCTAACCATTGGCCACGCTGGTTGGGGCTGGTGCCAACTGAAGTCCGACATCGCCTGACGGGCATCCCTTTGGCTACCTCCTCCAAGCGCACCTGAAAGTTGTTTTGGCCACGTATACGGCCTCGTGTTCCCTCCTGCATCCTGCTCCCTCCCTCCGTTTCCTCCCTGCCTTGGCACATTTCTTATCAGCCCCTGGCTAATCTACTTTACACCTGACCCTTTTCAGCAAAATAAGATAACAAGCCTTATGCAAATAGCAGAGTAATCATGTCCCCGGTGGGAGTGCGCCAGGAGAAGTTGTGCCCATATAAAAGAACACCCGGATCTCATGAGCAGGGGGGAAATCGCCTTCCGGACACCGGTTGCAAAGAAGCTGGTGTCCTGTGTCAGACCAGAGAGCTACCGAAAGGAAGCCAAACAAAGAAGCGAGGAGTCTGGAACCCGGTAATGTGCGCGCGAGACCCTGCCTCACCATGGTGCACGATCTCATGTTCATGACATCCATCCTTATGTACCTGTCGTCCTTCGTCGGCATGGTCGGAAACCTCATTGTCCTTTTTGCCTTTATCAGCAACGCCATCCGGCACAAATCGCTGCAGCCTCTGGACCGCATCATTGTCAACATGTCCCTGGTGAACTTCCTCCTCTGCTGCTACAAGGCCATTCCGGGGCTCCTTATCTTCAGCAGCACCAAGGTGTTTGGAGAACTGGGCTGCAGGATCCTTCTCTACACGTACCACACCCTGAGGCTGATCAGCATCTGGTCGGTGGAGAACCTGAGCTTCCTGCACCTCATCAAGATCCGTCGGCCCAGCTACCGGTGGTCCAAGTTCATTTACCGGCACCAGGGCAAGTACGTCAACAGCACCCTGGCTGGGTGTTGGATAGTCAGCATCTTCTTACAGATACCTTACTTGCAGTATGAGAAGACGGTGAGCAGAAGGAACAAGACCATCGCCTACCTGGCGACCTCAACCTGCTTAAGGTCTACAGGGAGCTTTGCCATGAAGTTCACCACATACGCCTCGGTTAGTTTGGACCTCGTCTTCGTCATGCTGGTCATCGTCCTCAATGTCTTCATCATCGACCTTCTCTGCAAGCACAGCCGAAAAGTGAAAGCTGCTTCTTCGGTTACCAGCGGCAGCTGGAACAAGCACACTGCCCAGGCCACGAAAGTCTTGCTCTCCTTGCTGTCCATATACGTGGTCTGCTGGATCTCCAACGACATGGTCTGGATCGCCATCGCCTCGGGGTACATCAAGAGCAGCTTCGAAAATAGCGTCCTCAGCGCCCTCTACGGCATCCTGTCTTCCGTTTATTACTCAGCCAGCTCATACGTTGTGGTCTTTGGCTACAGGAAGGTCCGGGAGTACCTGGTGGAAGCCTGCTGGTGTCTGAGGTGCACCAGGCAAACCATGGTTGAGAACCTGTCCTAGGAGGATGTGCCCCACAGATGGTGGCCAAGTCCAGCCGCCTTGCCCAAACTCACAAAAGGCTGTTCCTCCATGGGGAAGGAAGCCACAACCTGAGAGAAAACAGATCACAGTTTGGGAGCCAATGTTCCTTCAGAATATCAGCTATTCATCTCCTGGATCTTGACCAGTTGATGTGTTCAGCATCCTCGTTGGTGGGAAAGGATGTAAGAAGACTTCACAAGGAGGATGGCAGCCAGATGGGCATGGAGAACTCATAATTGTTGCACTGGATTCTGGCTTTTATGTTGCTGCCTCCAGTTCTTCTACGCAGGTTACAATTGTGGTTATTATTCTTTTGATATCTCGCCTTCCAACTTGAGGTTACATCTCAGATTTCAGGGAAGCAGGGCTGCCACCACCTGACCACCTTTGATCGTACTAGCTAGCCATGTAAATGGACGTGAGACGAGGGGAAGGGGACATGCAAGGCAGACAGGATCAGAATACTGGGGAGACAGAAGTCAAGCAGCGGCAATTAGCCCAGGGAAGAGGGGAGCATGCAGAAAACATAGCCTAAACCAGGGGCGGGCAGATGTCAGGCTCCTGGGATGCACTTTATCCTTTTACTTCATACCCGAGATCTACCAACCCGAGCCGGGTACACATAGCTGTCAACTTTTCCCTTTTTTAAAGGGAAATTCCCTTATTCTGAATAGGATTCCTCGCAAGAAAAGGGAAAAGTTGACAGCTATGCAGGTACAGAATGAAAGAGCAGGGCGTCTGTGAGTTCAGGCATTTGTTTTCAACAACAGAACCGAGCACACAATCCTTTCTCACCATAGTCTGCTCTCTTCATTTCACTAGCCAAACAGAGGTGGAGTGTGGTCGTTCCATCGGTGCCACTGTTAAAACAATTGAGAGTCGGAAACTCTGGCCACACCCGTTCCGAAGGGGGGAAAGGTGAGAGGCGGGGAAGGAGCGTGTGGTGTGGGATGGGGACTGGAACTGGCAGTTTTGCGGCCCTGTGTGCGAGGAGGAATGGCCACAAAGGAAGGCAAGGATTGGAGGAGGGAAATGGAAAACCCAGAGCAATTGGTTGGTGTTGTTTTCCCAGTACTGAGTTCCAACTCTGTGTTGACCACCATGGACAGCATCCACGGGTCCTTTGAAGGAGAGCAATTTTAGATTTATTCTTCCGGAGGCTCTGCTCTACCTGCTGAAATATTGGTAACCTCCCTCAAACCATTTATTGTTGTATGTTTCCAATGTCCCTGTTTATCAGGGAGGAGCTCAATTGCCTGGGCAGCAATATCTGAAGAAACATTGTCTCCATTCGGTCTCCGTTTTGGCTTTTTGGACATACCTTGCTATTAAATTTTTTTCCAGTGTTAGGATTCAGGAGTGGTCGTTCTTCAGGGTTTGCCCCTCTGACTGGAGATGGGGGTGTGGGGGTGTACGAACACATCTTTCCCCCAACGCACCTACGCGTGAAGGAGGGCATAAGGACATTAAGGTGTAAAGGTAAAGGGACCCCTGACCATTAGGTCCAGTCGTGGACGACTCTGGGGTTGCAGCGCTCATCTTGCTTTATTGGCCGAGAGAGCCGGCGTACAGCTTCCGGTCATGTGGCCAGCATGACTAAGCTGCTTCTGGCGAACCAGAGCAGCCCACGGAAACACCGTTTACCTTCCCGCCAGAGCAGTACCTGTTTATCTACTTGCACTTTGATGTGCTTTTGAACTGCTAGGTTGGCAGGAGCAGGGACCAAGCAATGGGAGCTCACCGCGTCACGGGGATTCAAACCGCCGACCTTCTGATCGGCAAGCCCTAGGCTCTGTGGTTTAACCCACAGCGCCGCCTGCGTCCCACATTAAGGTGTAACGGAGCACAAGTATTCCTGTTATACCCAACGGCTTATTTCAGACTGTTGGGAATGCTACAAGCCAGCCTGTTGCAAAGAAATGAATGCCTAAGAATAGCCAAAGGGACACCCAACCAAGCAGCCTGTTTCTCCCAGTGGCTGGACGAACGGTTGACCAAACCAGCAATGGGCAGAGCCAGGGAGAAGCCAGATGGGGCAATTAATGGAAATGCTACGTTTGCACAGTGGTCTAGTTTTTGCACACACGTGTCTCTATCCTTCATCAGGACAAGTCAGAGGCGTGATCAGAACTCAGGGACGCGTTTTCATCCACTCAAGGAGGATGGAAACCTGGGTGGGTGAGGGGAGAGGGGGGGTTGGGGGTTTAGGGGGCAGATTGAAAGGCATGGAGGGCCACTTTTGGCCCACAGGCCTGAGATTCTCCATCCCTGTCCTCCAAGAGGCCTACAGGCTGGACGTTGACTCCAGCAACTGACTGTCAAGGGTCATAGGGTTTCACAGGAGCTTGCCAGTCAGTAACCGCAGAGATGGTGTCCTCACCAATATCCCAAGAGAGGGAGCTCAGTTGCAAGAGCTACAGCTAAGTGATGGTGCCCTCCAGGCCACCTGTCTCACACAGCTGCTAGGTAGGAGAATAGCCTAGGTGGTGTGTGAGAGAGAGCTGGAAGCAGGCTGGAAACACAGCGATATGTGACTGATGGAGCAGCAAGATCTCTGTTTTGTGGGCACCTCCATCATATGCTCAGGTTGTACATAGGTGTAAATAATATGCCTGTGTGCTGGTCCTGGGGGTAAGGTACCGTGGGTGTAGCAGAGTCCACACGAAGAGGGGCGAGGTCCGAGGCGGAGAGCCGGGCGGGGAACAGGAACGCTGGAACAGGAGGCTGAGCAGGGAACAGAAGTACCGGATAGTCAGGAACAGGAGGCCGAGCAGGGATCAGGAACACAGGAAGGTCCGAAGCCAACAACGACGTTGCTCCCGCAACCTGGGGCCGGGCTGACTGGGCTTTTATCCTCTTCTAAGGCCAGGGGCGGTCCCGGCCCCCAGGAGCCCCGCCTCCTCTGGCCTTAAGGCGAGCACTCCTCCTGGGGGCAACCAGTTCCCTTCGCCTCTCTGCCCTAAGCCTCTGCAGATCAGGAGAGGCCGAAGGGTTACTGGGCCCTGGAGGAGGCTCACCTGTGGCCACTGAGTCGTCAAGCCTCTCTGGGGCCAGAAGGGCTTCACCTGGGGCCAGCTCCTGATGCACTGCCACAGGTGCAGGCTCTTCAGCATCTAGGCCTTGCCCCAGTTCAGCCGGCCCTGGAGGCGGGGACTCCTGTGCAGGCTGGGATTCCTCTGTTTCATCCTCCGAATCGGAATCCCAGGCCATCACAGCCTGGTATACCTGAAGGAGCTTCTCCACCCCCATCGTTCAGCCCTCCAGCTCCGAGGGCCTTCTGGCAGTTCCCTCACTGCGAGAAGTGAGGTTACAGGGAACCAGGCAGAGGGCCTTCTCGGTAGTGGCGCCCGCCCTGTGGAACGCCCTCCCATCAGATGCCAAGGAAATAAACAACTATCTGACTTTTAGAAGACATCAGAAGGCAGCCCTGTTTAGGGAAGTTTTTAATGTTAGATGTTTCGTTGTGCTTTTAATATTCTGTTGGGAGCCGGCCAGATGGGTGGGGTATAAGTAATAATTTATTATTATTATTATAAAACCGTATATCCTAAAGACACCACAGTCTCTGCTGATTTTCATTCCGAGGAAATCAAACTTGTAAAAGCGCCTGGAACGCCCTGGAGCCTCTCTCTGCTCAGAGATTGGGGTGATGTGTAGCAGTAGAGACTTCTTGGTACCTTTAAAGCAACTCTCAGCCCTGACACCTTGCCTTTGGAACTTCAAAACGGGAGTCCCGGGTTGGTTCCCCTGCTTAATATGAGAACCCTACGTAAGCAACACACCCACTCCTGCTGACCGACTGAACAAGGCATTATCTGGGGGAAAGCGAGTTCTCCTTTCCAAAGGCGAAGGGAGGCAGGTAAACATTTGCCTGCAATCAGCTGAAGGCAAATGAACAGCTCCAAGCATCGGCAATCTTCCTGGAACACGGGAACAAAAGCTCACTGCGTAACTGACCCTTCGGCGTCAAAGTGCTCGTGTTTGGTTATCTTGCAAAGCGGGGGGGGGGGCGCGAGGGAGAGGCACAGTTTTCAGAGGCTGCGTTGAGAATGTCCAAGAGTAGTGAAAGTGGAAAAATCCAAAGAACTAAAACAGAGTGGGGTAAATTGGCTAGAATATCACCAGCTAACAGCAACGTTCGAGAAGGATAAAACAATCAAAGGGTTTTGATTTTTAAAAATTCAGTATGGGAAAAGGAAATATAATACAATAATCAAAAGACTATCTCAAAAATCTACAAATGGTTAAAGGTAAAGGTAACGGGACCACTGACCATTAGGTCCAGTCGTGGCCGATTCTGGGGTTGTGGCGCTCATCTCCCTTTATTGGCCGAGGGAGCTGGCGTACAGCTTCTGGGTCATGTGGCCAGCATGACTAAGCCGCTTCTGGCGAACCAGAGCAGCACACGGTTACCTTCCCGCCAGAGCGGTACCTATTTATCTACTTGTACACTGACATGCTTTCGAACTGCTAGGTTGCCAGGAGCTGGGACTGAGCAACGGGAGCTCACCCCATTGCGGGGTTTCATAGAATCATAGAATCATAGAGTTGGAAGAGACCACAAGGGCCATCGAGTCCAACCCCCTGCCAAGCAGGAAACACCATCAGAGCACTCCTGACATATGGTTGTCAAGCCTCTGCTTAAAGACCTCCAAAGAAGGAGACTCCACCACACTCCTTGGCAGCAAATTCCACTGTCGAACAGCTCTTACTGTCAGGAAGTTCTTCCTAATGTTTAGGTGGAATCTTCTTTCTTGTAGTTTGGATCCATTGTTCCGTGTCCGCTTCTCTGGAGCAGCAGAAAACAACCTTTCTACCTCCTCTATGTGACATCCTTTTATATATTTGAACATGGCTATCATATCACCCCTTAACCTCCTCTTCTCCAGGCTAAACATGCCCAGCTCCCTTAGCCGTTCCTCATAAGGCATCGTTTCCAGGCCTTTGACCATTTTGGTTGCCCTCCTCTGGACACGTTCCAGTTTGTCAGTGTCCTTCTTTGTCAGTGACCTCATGAATAGAAAGGGAAAGGAATATTGATATATATACATAATCAAATTAGGATTGAGATAATAAGGAAATACAGAAAGATATAACGAGACTGAAACGAAGTGTTGTGAGGTCGGTGGAAGTCTTAGTTTTATCAACTTTGGTTACGTAATGATGAATACGGTGTTGGGAATATGTCTGTCTGTCTTCTTCTTTTCTTTGTCTTTTATCTTCATTTATTTTCTTCTTTCTTTTTATTGTTTTTCATTCTTTGTTTTGTGTTTTAATCTGTAAGATTTGGAACTGTTACTTCTTTGTTTTGATGTATTGTTATATTTTGTTGTTAATATTATATTTTGTTGTAAATATTAATAAATAATTTTTTCAGTTAAAAGAGAGAGAGAGAGAGAGAATGCCCAAGAGTAAAATGAATGCTGCAAACCGGTGGGGCAATCTCAAGCAACAACTGGGGGGAAGTTTCCCCGGAAACAAAACGAACCACAAAAGTAACGTAGATGACATAACACATCCCATCCTGCCATATTCTACTCATAAAAAAGAGGCAAATATATATTACCAATCTTGATGGTATTCGCTTTGGGGGGGCATATACTGGGGGCAAGAGGCAAAAAAGAGTGGAACAGCAAATGTCCACGTTACCTTTCGCTATACAGTGGTACGTCTGGTTGTGAACGGGATCACGGGATGGAGGGTGGAACAAGGCAGGTGGAAAAATCCATTGCCTGGTGAACCACACAAAGTCTCTCTCCGCTCACGGTGACACGGCTCTGCAGTTCACACCTACTTCCCCCCAAAATGAGCAGCTTAAGCTGAAGAGCAAACACACCTGGGCGGACTCAAAGGAGGTTTGCTTAGCTGTTTGGCAAACCGGAGCCATCTCGGTATACAAATAGTCAGACGGTGAAAGCGCCCGGCAAAGGGACAGATTAGGACATCTTATCTTTACATTTCCTTCCCGCTCGCTGGCCACGCTCAGATTCTCTCTTTAATCACGCCATTGT